ATGGCCCGCCTTTCTGACAACTTACGTACGCTAACAGATTTGTCTACAATGGAAGCCTTAGGATAGTGACGATATCGTCCAATGTGATAGTCATTTCTTTAACAGTCAAATGGAAGATGTTTGTTTCTGGTTGCCATTTCTCAACAAAATTGGACACAACAATTTTGTTGACGAAGCGGTACATGCAATATGCAAATGTAGCGTTGTTGCCTTGTTTCCACCACGGCTACGAACAAATCTTAGTCAAGTGATTGTGACACTTCAAGGCCCCCCTGTCATCGTCAGCATTCCAAATAGCTGCGGCAACATGACTTTTAAAACTTTTAAGAATTGATGGATTGGTTGGCCCTCTCGAAAATGGCTTAGTAAGGATATCTTCATCACCAATAGGGTCATCATCTACAGCAATATCATCTATGGCAATATGTGCATCATCATCATGCATTCGAGCACGTCCACGTCCACGACCACGTCCACATTCTCTAATTCACGGAGTCTTCTGTTCGAAGTTGTTATTAACTGATGTTGATTAAGACTGACATTCATCTGCATAAGGAAAATTGTTCTCGTCAACCCAATAGAGCATTTATGGTGAAAATACTCTAATAAAAATACAATGAAATAGTCAAATTGTAGTCATCAACCAATATAGCAATAACAATTAGTTGTGTTAACAATACTAATGGTAATAGTTACCATTTATATTATTTGTTTTATTTACCTAGTGTGGGAATACCAATCCTGCATAGATTTTTTTTTTAATCTATTGTTATGTATTGAAGTTTATAAAAAAATAAAAATAAATAAACACACCCATAAAATAAAATTATTGGAAAAGAGGAACCGAAAAGAGAAAAAAAAAATACCAAAAAGAATAAAATAAGATCATAAATTTCAGTCAATAATATTGGCTTCCATGTTAGTGTCAATGTACCGCCATATATTTGCTTCGACTCCTATTCACAAAATCAAACTCTCAACAACACTTCAATCCTGTTATCCTTTAAACATAAGAAAACTAAGGTCCACCCAATCTTGGTGGTGTATGTAACTTGGTCTAAATAAATAAATAAAAACATTCGGAATTTCAGAGTCGAAAAAAATACATGTTTCAAAAATCAAATGTCGAACAAATTGACAGATTTCGATACGACAGAACTGAAATAATTTATTAAAGGGTAAATTACACTTACACCCCTAAGGTTTGGGTTTAATACATATCACCCCCTGACGTTTAGGAAATTACACTAATCCCTTGTCATTGTAATTATTTAAACGGAATGAAGATATTAAACTCATGCACTTTTTTCTTTTTTTGCTTTGCTTTGCTTTGCTTTCTTTCTCTTTTTTTTTTCTTATTTCCTTTACTTTTTTTTTAATGTAATTTCCTCTATTTTTCTACTAAGAGTTGTTAACTTTTATATAAGCAGGAGATGAGACTATTAACCACAAGGGTGAGAATGTAATTTCCAAAACGCCAGAGGGTGGATAGTAATTGGACCAAATTTCAAAGGGTGTCAATGTAATTTACCCTTTATTAAATTTGGATAGTAACCTCGATTTTTTATTTTTTTCAGAACTAATTTGCCGAACTAATCAATTGTATTCAAAAGAAAATTTATGAATTAAATATATAATTTCAAAAAACCAGTGTCAAAAGCCCCAAACCGCAAAACTTCAAAGAAAAAACGAAGGTTTTATGGCAATAAAGTGCACAAAGATTTGAAAATGATAAATGTAATAACGAAATGGAAAGATGTCTCACTTTCAACAATGCAATGGAGGGTGTTTAATAGTGTTATCAATGGAAGTCTTCAATAGGATGGAGGTCTTTAATGGAGGATAGTGTCTTCACTTAACTTCACTTTGAATGTGGCCTTGAATGAAGGTTTTCACCGTAGCAGTGTAGGTCTATAAGTCTAGAAGCAGTAGGTCACTTAACAAGTGTATGAAATGAGGGTTGAAGGGGTGTGTGTACAATGGTATGAGTGAAGTGTATAATTGAAACATTTAGAATGTGGATTGAGAAAATTAATTAATAATCAAATTAATAAGTTTGTGCACTAAGATAACTAGGTGCGTGCAAATAAAATTTCTCGAATGAATGGGATAAAAAAGATAGTAAATTACAAGTACAACACTTGCAATTAATTTAAAATATAAATTACCCCTTTGTGATTTTAAAAATTACAAATACCTTATTGTTAGAATTTTTTATTTAACAAAATTAGCAGAAAAAATAAAATTTCTAACTACTCTCATATATTGCAATAAAATTACCTAAAATATTAATTTAAATATATTTGTGACATCATTAAAAATATTAATTGATTTAATAATTTATTAATAAAATGAGTCATTTGTTATAGGATTAGAACTTGAGGGGGTGGAATATAATTTCAAAAACTATAGGGTTAATTCAAATTTTAAACAAATCTCAAGAGACGTATTTATAATTTACAGTAAAAAAAAATGAATAAATAAATTTAATTTTCCTTTCTAAATAAGTCTCTCTTTTTTTTTGTAGTTATAAAATTTTAATAAATTATTTATATTTTTCTCAAATACAATAGAGATCAAATAAAATTTTAAATGTTCATATATAATAAAAAGAGAAAATTGTTGATAAAGCCAATCTAATAATTGGTTGAGGCATTGTGTCCGCTGAATAATTTATTTTGGTGAGAAGTACACGCTTCGTGAAATATTGTAGTAAGAAGTACATTTTGTTGTTTTAGATGATATTTTATTTCCAATTTTGCCCTTTAAATATTTAACCTATTTGTTTAAATCTTTTTTTTATCTATTTAATCTTTTGAATCTATCTGTTCAAATTTGTATTTATCTGTCAATTTGTTTTTAATATCTTTAATTTATCTATTGAAATTCACCAAACTTTAATTTCCTTATCTGTTGAAATTCACCAAGACTATTTTTTCCTATCTGTTAAATTTTTTTATATGTTCAAAATTCTTTTTTTATTTGTTAAAATAACAATTCAATAAAGCAATCACAATATATATTTTTATCTGTTGAAACAAGGTCTGATCTGTTGAAACAATTCCATTCTTTGTTTTATCTGTTGAAACAACTCTATCTCTTTTCATTTTTTTTTTCTCTCTATCTGTCTGTCTCTCTCTACAAAAAGATATTGACACTTACTCCACCATAACTTTGTTAATTGTTTGAAACCATCTTTGTCATAGCTAATATTCTTTACACCTATTGCCTCTATTAAGTGCAAAATTTTAGTGATCTTGCAAGGATTCGTGAACCCACTCTCCATAAGATCTCTCTCGTAAAGATCTTAGAGATTCAACTAGTTTTGAAATAGAAAGAGAGAAGACAGGAGATAGAGGAAACTAAGCCAGCGAGTCTCTTCAATACAGTCTACAATGGTGCTGTGTCTTTTCTATGAGCCAGTTTCCAGGTATGCTCTATTTCTAGCCCATGGTATTGATGAAATTAGTTAGAACACTAAGGCAGTTCAGACTTCCGTGACTGACCTCAATTGATTCAATAAAGTCGTGAAGCTCGTAACTTTTACGCCGTTCAAGTCCGCTCTCAACGCTCTCAACCAATGTAATGCTATTTCCGAAGATGAGGCAGTAAACATATTTCTTTCTTTTTATTTTCTTTTTTTTCTATCTATATATATCTATGTATGTGTGTTATTTGCCGATCTGCCTGTGGTATAAGTGAAGGGAAGAGGTGACTTTGACGACGTGGAAGGAGGCGAATGAGATACCGATGTCGGCAACGGGAGAGCTTCTGTTGCTGTGAATGTGGAGATAAAGGTGGAGGTCAATGACGATATCGGAGCGAATCAGAAGTAAGACCAAACAGGCGTCAGTAAAGAACAATGAGAAGTGAGAAAAAGACCAATAGAGAGAGAAAAATGAAGAATGCGTGTATGCATAGGTAATCTTAATCTATTTGTATATGCATAGGAATTAGAGTCAAGATCATCTGTCATGGTTTTCTGCCATGCTTCCTGTAGTACTTCCAAAACGACGTCGTTTTGGATCATTTTTGTTTTATTTAGTTTTTTTCCCCAGCTCTCAAACCAGAGAGACAAACCACCAAACCCATGCCCATTACCATTAAACTGGATGTCAAAAGCTTGAATTCAAACTCTCATGCCCATTACCATTAACAGAAGGATCACTCACACTCTTTAAACCACCAAACCCATTATAATTAAGAAACCCCAGACCCATCATTTAAATTTTCAGATCAACACAGTTTTTATGTCTAAAAACATACCCATTCATTACAAACAAAAATTCAGAGCCTAGAGGGCTTATCGAGCGATTCAAGCTTGTCAAATTCATGGACCATGTACCGAACGTCGTCATCTGAACTGATCAACACTAGAGGGGCTTCATCATTTGTCGATTGGGAGTTGGTTAAGATCCGAAATCTTCGATTGGAGTCTTGAAAAGCCGATGTAAACGATTGGGATGGTTAGGTCGCTGGCAACGAGAGAGAAATAGAGTCGGAGGAACTAAATATGGCCTCGCCGCCACAGTTGTCACTGCCCGTCCCCTTTTCGTTTTCGTCTCTGGTTTTCTGTTTTAGATGGTCTCTCTCTAGTTTTGGGAACTAGGGGGAAAAAAAAAAGAAAAAGAGAGGTCCAAAATGACGTCGTTTTGGAAGCACTACAAGAAGCATGGCAGAGAACCATGACAGAGGATCTGGACTCATATAAATGGACAATTTGATCATTTTACAAAATCATGATCTTATGAGCATAATAATTTAACACGTGACTCAAAAAATATAAAATTAGGCTTATGGACATAAGCCTTAGTTTAGGAATTGAGTTAAAAGTTACTTCCCAATTTTTAACTTTTAACCCACTTCCCTCTCATAAAAAAAATTAAAAAATAATTTTTAACTACCTTAGCAAAACACTCCATAATGCCGTAATAAAAAATCATAAATATAAATATTTTTATTTATTTATTTATTTATTTATCAATTTTCATTCACAATTAACACGTTGAAGTCCCCTTCTAACGGACACTAAAACCCTAACCCAAAACGCCCGCATCCGATCAGTTCAAGCTCTGGTGAGATGCCAACGTAAAAGGGCAAAAATCAAAACCCTAGAAAACCTTCGTTGAGATCGAAATCATGGAGGTCGGTTCGTCTCAGTCTCAACCCCAGTCCACAAAGCAAAAGGCCGATGCTTTACAATCTCTCTCCGGTCCTTTTTCCTCTTCGATAGCAAAGCTTTCGGGTTCTTCTCGAGGCATACCACCCAATAAAGATTTTCACTTTTATTACAACTTTAACGAGTTCAATGCCCCGATTACAGAAATTGCCGATACATCGCAATTAATGCTCGATACAATCGGGTATTCATCGCATTTATGGGGCAAAGAAATGGCCTTTCCTGATGAATTTGATGATGTGTACGACTGGCTTGTCAATGTGAACGATGAGTTGTTTGAGAGGTTTGATGTGTCTGCGGATGAGTTTGAGAAGTTGAGGAAGCAAGAAGAGGAAAGAGGGTCGAAATTGATGAGTTCGGTGGATTCGGAAAGTGGGTTTCAGTTGGTTTATGGGAAGAAGAAAGGGTTGAATCGGTTGATGGAGAAAGATTTGAGTTCTTCGTCGTCGTCTTCGGCTGTGAAGGTGGCTTCTAGGGATAGGAAAACGATGGGGACGAAGCAAAAGATTCCATTTCATATACCCACAATTCCGCGGCCTCAGGACATGTTTAAGATAGTTGTTAATAATTCAAATCAGCCATTTGATCATGTTTGGTTGCAGAGGAGTGAGGATGGGTCTAGGGTTATACATCCACAGGTTTGTTTCTTGGTACCCAAGATTTTGAATTTTTGTTTTACGTATAAAAAAGAAAAAGAAAAAGAAAATGTGTTAATTATGAGTTTGTAGAAATTTTGCCGAAATTGATCGATCTTGTGTGTGTAAAATTTAGCATTAGATGATGAGATTTATGTGAAAGAGATTTGGGGTTATGCTTCTATGTTGTGAGTCCACTAGTGATTTAATGATTTTACAAAACCTGAATATTCAATCTAAACAGAGTTTGTTGTTGAGGGATGGTTCTATTATGCTGCAATGTGTTGAGTTGTAGATGGGTCATGCGGGACATCAGAACTGTGGTATTAACGTTAACGTAGTTAAACAAACAAAGCATTATTCTATAACTATAAAAATGTTGAATATATAAGGTTTACTGAAATCACATTATGTAGATTGTGCACCATTCTGAACCTGATAGCCTAATTTTGATTGGCTGGCAGATTTTGTTGGGCCTTGCTATCTGGTCTCCCCTGTTCAATCATATGCATTAGGTTTTCTCGTACTCAATCCATGCTGCCCCTTTTGGTTTTGCATGTGTGCCCGCATTCTTCCACTGTACTTAAATCAGATATCTCCTCATAGCAGGCAGATGTTTTGGTCTTTGCTGCTCATAACTGAAGCATCTCAATTGGCTAATTTGTATTTAGTTGTATAATCACAAATCATACCACTTCTGTCAGGATTTTACACAACTGAAGATGTTCTCTTTTTCACTTATAATTGTGTTGAAATTTATGTTTCTGTCTCAGGATTCTTTTGTTAGCTGCCTACCATTACTGTAATTCTACATACATGTATTCAACTTGTATGGATAATGTATCAGCATTAAGGAATGCAGTATAGGGTTTGGGGGTAGTGTTGGTGGCTTGAGATATCTCACCACACTGTCAAGAAGGGTCAAACTTTTTGTTGGGATCTTGTGAAATTTTACCACAAGTAGTGTGTTGGATTTCCCTATACGCAATACAGAATATGATTTGATATTCTTGTTCATTGTGAAAGTAAAGTAACAACTTTTATGTATGAAATAACCAAGGAGGTTATTTAAGAGTCAAGTAATTCAAGAGGTTACTTCGTGAGGAAATATTTGATTCATAAGCATCCTACTAAGGGAGATTAATTCAAGATCAAGATCCATACATAATTAGAAGATTACTTATTGACTTATCATTTTTACCTTTGATTAGTAGAAAATCAAAATTTTGCCATTACCTCCCATGTCCTGAAAATTACAAAGCATCTTTCTATTGCACTTAGCTTTTCTTCGATCTGGATCTAGCTGATCTAGGCATCTACTTTAAATACAAATTCTCCATTGTGTTGCCCTTTTGGTGTTATAAGTTAAATAATATATTGATGTAACTTTATCATTCCAAATTTTTATGGACCTTGTTTTGTTGAAATAATATTATGAAAATTTGCGAGGCAATTGAGAGTTCCTTTGATGGATCATATGGAAAAGAAAGGAATTGGTGAGAGATGGAGTAAATGGATCCACAGTTGTTTTGCCTCTTCAAATGTTTTGGTTGTTGTGAATGGGAAGCCGGGTGATACTTTCATAACTTCTAGGGGTTTAACGCAAGGGGATCCTTTATCGCTGTTTTATGTTTATTATTGTAATTGAGGTGTTGAGTCGATTGGTTTATAGGGCTTTTGAGAGTGAAAGATTATGTTTTAGGCCTCATTTGGCAACATCACTTTTTAGCCTAAAAGCTAACAAGGCACTAAAAAAAACAAAAAACCAACAACCTATACAAAAAAGTCAAAGATTCTATTTTCTCTCTACTTTTTGCACATCTTTTCGTAAAAAACCAAAAAGTTATCCCAAATATATTAGTTTTTTTTTTTTTTTTTTCATCATATTTTAGCCAAAAAGTCAAAAAGTTACTAAAAAAAACTTGTTCCCAAACGAGGCCTTAGTGTCAATTTACAATTCGTAGATGATACCATTTTATTTTCTTCAGGTGAAGAAGATAAATTGGTCATTATTGTTATTACAGTTTTAATATCATTTCTATGTTGAAAGTACTAGACACACTTTTAGGAGTGTTTGCAGAGTGTTGGCGTATAATACGACATGCATTTTCTATAGAAGTGTTTGTGCTTCTTTTGCATTGTCTTATAGCTCCATCTTTGTGGTGGAGAGTATTTCGTTTTGACGGAGGTAGATTGGGTTATTCCACCTCTTGTGAGAACATGTCATGCAGTGTTTTTTAGAGAATTCAATTCAAATGAAAAAGCACAGGCTATTTAAAGTTGTCTTGTCCATGCAGTTTCTTTGGGTCTTATGATTAGAAAAAAAAAAAAAAATGAAGATGTTGAGAGCATTTTGGAAAAATTTGTTATCTGGCTTCTTTTTGGGTTTTGAGGGCTCTTTATTTTAAAGGGATACATAACTTTTTAACTTTTAGAGATTGGAGAGCTATTTGTAGGGTGGGGATTTATGTTTTTTCTTATTTTCTTTTTCTTTTGGTGTGCTTTTTGTTTCCTCCTTTTATATTAGCCTTTTTCTTTTAATAAATTTCTTTCTGTTGCTGATAAAAAATAAGTACTTGCCAATGGGTTACCTCTTTAGTTAGGCTGTCCTGTTATTAGGATTTTCCTAGTGTTAATGTACTGGAACAGCTTTGTGTAGGCAACCTAAATCTATATTGAGATTCAATGAAGTCTCTAATGTGTTGTTCCTTGGGTTGGGTCGTCTGTTCACCTATGAAGCAAGTAGGTGCAAAGGATTTTGCTAGTGACAAAATGACATTGTTTGGTTGCCGTTCTCTGTTGCCAAATCGTCGCCATCATAGATTCCAACTTGTGTTTAGTGATAATACTTCAAGTTAGATGGACATTTTTGAGTCTTGAAAAAGGTGGTCCTCATGATTGGAGGAGACATTGCTAATGAAATACTTCTTCTCTGTGATTATCTTTTCAGAAGAATAATATAGAATTAACTCTGCTTTGCTTAGAGCATTTAATGATGCTAACTTTCTTGGCTACTTTTTTGGGAAAATTGTCCTTTAGAGATTCTTTGCTAATGATGGATATTCCATCTACAGGCTTCACTTTGGACATGATAACAGTTTTGGTGCTCTACAGATTCTATGTGTTTGGATATTGGTTCCTAGATGGACATGAAGCTTATTGATGATTTTATTGATTTTATACATGCTGGGTGGTTAAATAAGCATTTTGTTTATTGTGATTTTGTTTATTGTGTTCTCTACTTATTGAAATGGTCTGGCTTGTAAACATCATTGGTTACGCTTTATGAACTAATTATGATGGGCTTGGTTTTGATTGATTGCCAATATCAGAAGAAAGCATATTGCTAACTATGTTATTTTCATACCTGTAGGAGAAATTTTCTGCTTTGGATTTTGTTGACAAAAATGTTGTTGAGCCTGTGAAACCACCTCCAACTGAGTCTACTTCATTCAAGCTTGTGGAAGAAGTCAAAGATTTGAAGGAGTTAGCTGCAAAATTACGTGGTGTGAATGAATTTGCGGTAAATGTTGCTATTTTGAATTGTTTCTAATTGACAGGTTAGATTATATCTTGGAGTCTACTACTATGTTAGAACCCCCATCCCCCTCCTCTTGTGGTAGGCAGAGTCAGCAACTTACATCAAAATGATGGCTTCATGCCTCTTTTGCATCTCAATCATGGTCCATGCAATGCGACATCATTGACAGTTTGTTTCTCATTAATTCGTTTTTTATAAGTAAGATTCGTATTGTATTTCATTACTATATCAAAAACACCGTACGGGTGCAATCATGTACAAAAAGAGTCACAAAAGCTCAACAAAGAAATTGAGCTTGACAATAAAATCTACGAGAAGAAAAGAGGATTCACAAAAGGACCATTTACACCAGAAATAAAAAAAGTATGCAGGAGGTCCATCTTTAGCTTAAGAATCTCTAATTCCAACTTCTCAAAAGTGTGCCTATTCCTCTCCCTCCACAAACGTCACATAAGACTAAGGGAGCTACCATCCAAACCTTCTTCTTAGCCTTCTGCCTTCAACCGTACCACCAACCTAAACATCATTGTCGGACCTTGGCAGCACCCATGGAACTCCAAACGTGGAAAATAGCAAACCTCAAAGCTCGTTTGCTATTGTGTAATGAAGAAGTAAATGATCCACCAACTCCCCCACCTTGTAACACATACAACACTTGCTAGACATCCTGTAGCATCGCTTCATCAAATTATCAATTGTGATAATAGAATTTAAAGCTTCCATCCAAAAACTGAATGTCACCCTAAATGGAGCTCCTGACTTCCAAACAACCTTTCATGGGAACTACTCCCTTGGTCCTAAAAAATTAATGAGAAATTAGACTTGATTGAGAAAAACCCGTTGCCATGATTCCATCTCAGCTTATCCTGTCTCCCCGGTGAAAATTTGTGTCCATAAAGCACCTAAACCAAATATCCATTGACTCCATACAAAGGTCACAAAGAAGCATTCCACTATACAAGGCACCTTGGTTATGAAAAGGCTTAGATAAGTAGTTTGCCCCTGCTTCTTTGACACCTAGTTTTTGATAGCTTGAGCATACTGGTGTCTAGATCAGTTTATTTAAATCTTATCACAGACATTATTGCAGAAAGCTGTATCACCAGGATACCCACTTGCAGTTAGACGTGTTGTTGTCTTTTTCACATTTGTTATTTTCCCATTATTTTAAGCTTTTTAATGGTCTTTTCGCTTGTGTTCCGTGTTGAGAATCATTTTGAGCTGTAGGTTCTATAGTAGCTTATGCCGTAAATGAGTTTTGATGGTAGTCTATAGTAAGCAAAGCTCGGTTTATTTTTAGTAGTCGGCTTATCAAGGACGTTGGTTTTCTCTTATGTGGGAATCCTAAGGAGCCTGAAAACCCATTTTTTAATAGGTTTTTGAAAGTTTTGTGAACTGGATGAGGGGTTGCATTGATTTATGTTGTGGCATTGGGCATGGTTATTTGTGCTTGTAAGCATGCCTTCTTATTCTTTATTTACTTAAATTCTTTGATAATAGCACTGCATGGCAAGACGAACCTGATGGGTTGGATGTTTGCATGTTTTCCTTGGCATAAGTTGCCTAATATGTGATTACTAGACATAAAGCATTGGTAACCTTTGAAGATTTTTGATTCAGTTGTACTCTTCTTGGTGTGCTTTTTCCTTTATATGATTATCTATTAATTGCTTCAAATATTTTTAGGGTTTTTCAGTGCACTATGATTTTATGAGAATACCTTTCAATTGTGTTGAAATTTGTCTAAAACAACATTAATATTAGGGATGCATTTTATTTTTGTTTGGTTGATTATAATATCTAGTTTTCTTTTTGCTGTATTTTTAACCATTGTCCAGGTTGATTTGGAACATAATCATTATCGATCTTTTCAAGGGTTGACTTGTCTGATGCAAGTCTCAACTAGAACTGAGGATTTTGTCGTTGATACGCTAAAGCTTCGCATTCATATTGGTCCTCATCTGAGGGAAGTTTTCAAAGATCCTATGAAGAAAAAGGTAGATCTCTTTCATATGATACATCTCTGAGATTATGGTAGACTTGCTTCACTGTGATGATACTTTCACTTATCAGGTCATGCATGGAGCGGATCATGATATAATGTGGCTCCAAAGGGACTTTGGCATATATGTCTGCAATATGTTCGACACTGGGCAGGTTTTTATTTGAAACTACTCACTTTTCTGGAATGTGAACTTCACGTGAGCTTTAATTTTGTTTTTATCATTCTGCAAGAAAGATGCTATGTCAAGTTGTTTGTGATGTACCTGTTGGTGCGCTCTGGTAATTAATGTTCAATCACAATTTGTGTCTATTCGTCTTTTTGTCTGAATACTTTAGCCTCTCTTTTTGGACTGTGCTGTTTCTTGTATGTGTCCCCTTGTCAGAGTTTATGATGCTTCTCCACAGCTATTAATAGGTCTTTATGAAAACTTGTGCATTTGCATGCATACTTCTTGTTGGGTTGCTGTTGTTGTTGGCTGGAAATTAGCTGAAGAGCTTGATGTTGTAATTGTAACTAATATTGTAGCTGCTTTGAAGCTGACTAGTAATGGAAAACAACACATAAAAGCATGACTAACTTAGTGGCAGATTTTTGTGAATTGTGAAATATAATATTAGGGAGGGAAGTGTTGAGATCTGAGCCATTTTGACTTCTGCAGTGATGAGTCTTAATTGTTATTTTAAGTTTTGCTCTCATCTGATATATTGCTTAGGAACTATTTTTCCAGTGAGCAGCAAGTACAAGATATTCTTTCTTTATGGATCAAGAATGGATATTTGATCTGATTCCTAAGATCTCTGAGGACAATACCCTATTTTTTTGGCTTGAGATTTCTGGAATATGCCTGAGGAAGTATTGAAGTTACAACGATAAAAATGTATCCTGCTGATGTTTGGATTTATCTCCTAAGTGATGGCCATCTAGTGATTGACTCTATACATTATTCTTTGGCTACACATATGATAATAATATTTTCTTGGCATGGCTAGTTGGTGCATCCAATGCCCCTATTGCAAAAATGCCCCTATTGCCAGTTGCCCAAGAAGTTCGGAGTTGGCCTTTGAGACACCCAAGTATATAAAGTTCTGAGGGTTTAAAATGTGGGTGTGTTGGAGCAACATCAGTCAAGTATTTACAAGTCCCCACTAAGACATTGACATAGTGAAAACTAGGATGAGTTAATGATTCTTGTTTACTTGATTTCTTTCTTTCTTTTCAGTGTTTCTTCGATTGGTGAATAGCATCTCAATTATGCTGGAGTGAGTTCTGGGGTAGGGTTTGAGAGGAGTTGAATTCACGGATTGCAGTTTTGATTTATATTACAATATATGAATAAGTTTGGTTTTAATAAGTGTCTCATGCATGAGATAGTCTAGGTTTGCACAAATGATAAGATATTTACTTCTTTTCAACTGTTCCTTGTTCTCCTCTTGGATTTTGCTCCATAAAGTAGTCTGAAAGTATGTGATAGTGATTTCGCTATATAAAAAGTAGCATGTTGTATAGATAACTGTTCCTGGATGCAAGTTTGATTTCTTTATCAAATTTTTGTTGGATAAAATGGCCCTTTACAATTATCTTGCTGGCAACTTTCCAGAAAATTTAAATTGATTTGGTGATTCACAATAATAAGTATTTCTTGTTGGTGGGATCACAGGTTCTCAAGGACCTTCCCACTTTTGTTGAATCTATTAGTTCTATCGTGTCTCATATTTTAGTCGCACTTGTTCTTCTTGTGAACTGTGGTGTGATTAATTGGACAGACATGGAAGAGATCCCTACCTTCTAGACCGGCTTGGTCTTGGTTATTTGTTAATTGTTTTTCTTCAGATATAAGATAAATGTTAAAGTTTTTTTTTGGCTACGGTACTGGGGTTGAGTAAATTGAATTTTTGTCTTAATTCTTAGGCCTCAAGAGTATTGAAATTGGAAAGAAATAGTCTGGAGTATCTTCTGTCTCACTTTTGTGGAGTTACCGCTAACAAAGAGTAGGTCTATATATAATTATAGAAGCATCCACTTATCTGCTGTTTTCTCTTGTTTGATTCCTTCCCTACATCTAGTCCCTGTATTCTGTAAGATTAACCAGCCAACTTGTTGCAGATACCAGAATGCAGATTGGAGACTTCGCCCTCTACCTGATGAGATGCTCAGGTACGTGTTTGTTTGTGACCAATGATCCTTGCTCTTCTAATTTCTTGCCTGCCTTTTTCGTCTTGTTGTGTCTATTGTTTTATTGTTTTTGGTTGGTAGTTTTCTTTTGTTTTGTTTTTGAGATGTGAAGGTACTTTGAATAAGATACGGACAAATGTCTTGTTTGGAAGTCCTAATTACTTGTGAGGAAGATAAGTTGACTATCTGTATTTCTTAAGGGTGGGCAATTGAGTGGTAAAAGGTTCCATGTAATACAAGGTTCCAAAAGTATATAAGATGGTACAATCCACTGACCTTGGAGAAGTTACTGCACGCTGCATTCTACCATGCTACTTTGCCCATTGGGTTTGAGTTAACATTTTATTTTACTTGACTTTTCCTTATGAATTACGCAAAAATTTTGTTTGTCTTCAGCACAATGAAAATAGCACAAATGAACAATCAATAAGAGGAATATACAATTTTATTCTAGAGGCTCTAGCAGTGCTTTGAATCTTGCAGTTTTCAAGGTTGGCACTCACACTCATGCTTCTCAAACTCTGCATTGAGGAAGGATCTTGAGCAGTCTTCATTGTCCCCCATGGTCTTAGAAATTAAATCTGAACCATTTTATGTGAATTTTATGTTGGAATTAAAAAAGATAGCAAGAATATTTAAGTGAGCAAAGCTCTCCGTTCATGTTCCAGTGTGTAGGGCATTCAATTCGACAAATTCTGCCCTCTGTATCATAGCAGTTCATGTTTGAGTATTTTTATTTGATTATTCGTGTTAGTCGTTGCGTCGTCCCTAAAGCCAACATATTGACCCTATGGATTAATTTCAAGTTTCAACAGCTCAAAAGAAATGGATTGACAAGTAACATGCATTTTTTAGTTTTATCCAGGCCTGTGTGTCACCCAAATCGTTAGACTTGTCATATTTTGTTTTTATCAGATATGCCAGAGAAGACACACACTACCTGTTGCATATTTATGATTTAATGAGAATCAGGTTGCTTTCTGCATCGACTGAGTCTGAAGATTCTGATGAACCGCTGGTGGAGGTATGACCTTTATAAGCTGTGAACATTCCCTTCTCTATGCATGCATATTGAAAGTACATAAGGTATTTTAATAACTATTTCACTTGCTAATCTAGATATGACATAGCACCAACATGAAGTGCTCTTAGTGCTTATTCCTATTAAACTCATTTATGTATATTGTAGCTACCTACAACTTTATGAGATCAAGACATAATTGTTGTGCTTGGTTTGATGTACCTTTTCATTGAATCGCTTAATTTTCTTCTTCATATTCTTTGTATTGGTAAAATTTTAGGGTTGTAAATTTCTACCACCATCTTTGTTACTTTGCCTCTTTTCCTTATCAATAAAATTTCTTTTGTTGCTGATAAAAAACGTAAAAAAATTTAATCACCATCTTCATGGTGGAATGGAAGCTTATGCTTGGTTATTTTAATTTTTTAAGTTTTTATAATTTTTGAGAGGTTGAGTTGTGATCTTGCTGTTTTTGGTTGTCAATAAGCTTTTCTGTATCTCCCAAAGTTTTTGGGGTTGTGCTGATCCTAGGTCTATTGTGCTTTGTAATTATGATGCCTACATTGAACCAAAGGATGTTTAAAGTTTTGGTATATCTTAGAAGGATAGAGGGTCATATTTTTAACTTGATTTGGAATAGTTCTCTCTCTATCTCTCTTATGTTTAATTTCACAAACATTTATATGTAAACTAGTTGAAATTTGAAAATGCCCATGCAAGGCATGGGCTTTTAATGATAAATTTGGATTTAAAAAATACAATACTTTTGGTCCTAGTTGTAAGATTGCTTTCAAGAAAATAAGAAGCTTGGACTCTAAAAAATTAATAATATACAAATTGAAACTGAGTAGTAGATAAATCAAAAAAGGGTAAATTACACTTGACCCTTCTGTGTTTTGCCATTTTCTCACTTTGGAAAGTTTTTTTTTTCCTCTCCACTTTGGCCCTTCATGTTTCAAGTTTTTCCCAATTTATTCCTAAAGTTAACTTCTGCCCAAAATTAGACAGAATGCCATGTGGCATAAAAATATATTATTATATTTAACCCACTGACATAAACCCAAGTCGAAATATAATAATATATTTTTTATGCCATGTGGCATTTTTTTAATCGAATTTTTGATAGAAGTTAGCTTTAGGAGTAAATAAAGAACTGCAAACTCATCTATTCTCTTTCCTAGCTTGCACTAAACATATAGTAGGAAGAGACCTTGCATCTAACTAATCTATTCAAATCTGTCCTTGTCTGTTATAACCTTTAGGAACCTGGGAAAGAACTATAAAGCAAGTAGCTACTAGGGCTAATAACATGCTGCAAGTCCTTATGCCACTAACAGAACTTTTGGGAAAAACTTGAAACGTGAAGGGCCAAAGTCGGGAAAAAAAACTTTTTAAGGCCAAAGTGGGAAAATGGCAAAACATAAGGAGGAGGAGGAGGAGTTTACATAAAATTAATACTGAATAATGTGGTAACTTTTAATTTTATCACTTTAAAGCTAAAAGTCATTAATGTGGTTTGTATTTAAAAAAAAATGTCACTGCCACGTTATTCTTGTCAAAAATTTGAATAGTGTTTTTCAATTAAAAATCTTGTTTTTATTATTTATTTTTTCCAGAATGATATGGTTTAAACACATTGAATTTGAAGAAAATAACTTCCAATTAGTTTATAAATAGAGCGTTCTAAAATATTTATTAAGGCTTTTTGTTCACATTTCTTTTTCAATACGCAGAATGTGGAAAATGATTTTCTTACTATTTTGATATAACATAAGATAAATGTAGTTGTAATGTAAAAAAAGGTAATTATTTTATGTACATATATAAAAATATATATTTATTTGTAGTCGTGTCTCTGCCTTGACGTGTCCTTTACTTTTTTAAAATTGTCTTGTCAGCATGCTCGTATTGTGTTGTATTTGTGCTTCTTACCTTACCAATCACACAATCTCTCCTTTTGTCACACTTAACCCCAAACAAACAAAGAGAGTGAGTGAGTGAATGTGTGTGCAATTCATGGGGGTGACACACTTAATAGAGCTCTTAACAACATGCTCACCTCCCGTAAAGCTATCACTGTATCATGGGAGCACAGTTTTACCTTGATTATTAAGAAACTGTTGTGGCTTACAGGTCTACAAGCGCAGTTATGATTTATGCATGCGGCTTTATGAAAAAGAACTTTTGACAGATAGTTCATATCTCTACATATATGGGTACGTTACTGGTTCAGTTTGTGATACCCTTTACCTGTATGAATTGTAGAATTTAATGTACATCAACAGTGTTTTTTCCTCATTGGGTTTTCTGTTGTTGATAGTTTGATTTCCTTTGACTTGGAAAGAAAATGATCAAGCATACATTTTTTGTCATGTTGATACAGTTTGCAGGGCGCTGGTTTCAATGCCCAGCAGCTTGCGATTGTTGCAGTAAGCTTATTTTATTTTTCTGCTATCAGCATGATCTTTCTTTATTCCTGAGATAATTCCAATCCTGAAGGGAACCACTGAGGATTTGCTATCTGCATATTTTGGGCTGGTTTGACCAGTGTTTTTTTAGTAACCTTTTTTTCTTCTTTAGGATAAAGTTGTGTTTTGCAAATGCCAAAAAAACTGTTTTTGTTATTGGGAAAGTTTGGGTGGGTTTGGATTTTTTTTATTTTTATTTTTATTTTTGTTTTTAGTGAGCTTTTTTGAATTATAAAAAAAAAAAGAAAAAGATCCTTCCAGACTAGAAAGACCTGAAAAGTAAAATTTTCTAACAAAAACTTGAAAAAAGTTCTCTATAGACAAAAAGGTTCAGGAAATTTTTCTTTAGCACTTGCAAAATTTTTTTTAGCACTTTAATTGTGAGGTTGAAACCAAACAACCAAATGATGCTTAACCTTCTTACTTGACAATCTGAATGGTTTGCAGGCACTTTGTGAATGGAGAGATGTTGTTGCCCGTGCAGAGGATGAAAGTACTGGTTATGTATTGCCAAACAAAACTCTTCTTGATATTGGTATTTGGAAAACTACATGAATTTTTATTTGATAATTTTTTTTAATACTGTTATTTATAAATCACACAATGACATTTTCATATTTTCTCTCTCAATAATGGAAAAAGCCAAACAGAAGCCTGTCACCACCAACATGCTACGCCATTTGGTGAAATCAAAGCACCCATATGTAGATCGCAATCTTGGTTCCATTGTCAGCATCATTAGGCATTCAATGCAGAATGCTGCTGCATTTGAAGCTGCTGCAGAGCTTCTAAAGGAGGTTCGCGTGGAAACGGTAATACTTGCATAGACAAATTAAGGTCAAAAGTCCTCCATGATTCTTCTGATCAACCCTGAACAGATTGTCAAATTGCTAATTTTTAGTTTAGATCATCATGGGCAAGCCCTTGTATGTGGGTCATGATAACACTGAAAATGAAAAATACTATGTGAATTGCAGTGAGGGTGCATTGAATAACTTGCATGTTTCAATTTTATTTTTTTATTTATTCAGTTTGGGGTTATTTTTTCATTGTATCATGCTCTGTGTTGTGTGATTTCCCATCTTGGGGAAAGGGGAAAGAGTAATCATATTTAAGATTGATGATTCCATATTGTGCATTTTAATCTGACGATTAAGGAATCTGATTTCCCATCTGTTCTTTTACTTTTTTAAGGTGGAAAATGTTTTCCTGGACTACAGCCTTGTCACTGCCATCTCCAACCCACCAACCACCACCATGTTCACCACCCATCCCCACCACCAGCACAGTACCACCTCCAACACCCTATCCACCAGCACCAGCACCAGCACCAGCACCAGCACCAGCACCACTACTAATACAACCACTATCCCAAATTGGAACGAAAGAGGCTTGGCCTTGTGAATATAAGCTTCTTTTGGTCCCCTTGCAAGTTGGTTTCAAGGGTGAGTTCTACTTAAAGGGTTCGTATGATTTGTATCAAAGCCAGCCACCATGTTGAGTATGGGATCATTGGGTGTAGCTTTGCGGTTCGAGCTATGGAGGGGGCGACCTATAGGCTAGATTAGGATGCCCATATAGGCTAGATTAGGATGCCCATTAAGATGTTTAATACTGATAGGAGAGAGAAGTCGCCAGTAGTTAAAGGGCTACTGTTGGGTAGCACATTAGTGTTAAGGTTGCAACCAAACACGGTAAATATTTTTCATAGAAAACGTTTTCAATAGGAAAGCATTTTACGCCCACACAAACAGAGGGTAAGGAAAAAAACTTTTGTATCTAAATGGTATTAAAAAAAAAAAAACTTTTATATCTAAAAATACTTGTTTTTGGGAAGTGTTATTAAAGGCGCGGCCCAAGTCTTATCCATGCCCAAGGTTTGCGCGCCTTGTAGTGTTCCAGGCCAGGCGACTTCAATAAAGCGTGCATAGGCGTGTGCCTAGTGTCACGGCCTTGGTTTTTCCGAACCAACCGTGTGACCTTAGATGCTTTTGCACACCTTGCTTGCACCTAAGTAAGTTTTCTTTGGAAGAGAGTTAGGAGAAGATAGCACACACAAGAGAAACTTAGAGAGAGAGCTCTTGGAGAATGCTTGTATTGTATTGCTTGAATACTTTACAACTCTTGAGTGGTTTGGGCAAATAAGGCCCTCCCCTTTTTATAGGCTATTATGAACATTCTAGAACTACAAGGATGGAGAGTGTTCTAGACACTTCCTCTTATTACATCTAATAGACTATTCTAGAATATACAAGTATTATATACTAGCTTCTAGAGTTATGTACAATTCTCTACAAGGCTCTAGGGAGTTCTAGAATCTTCCAGCAATCTCTAGAACCTCCCAGGGCTTTCTAGTGAGGGATAGCTTCAAAATTTGTCAGTCTATGACATTCTCCCCCACCTAATATGGCGACGATGCGTCTTCTTCGTGGAACCATTGTATCTTTTCTTCAAATTGCCATAATGCTCTACCGGTTCCCAATTTGCTTCGCAATCAGGCAAGCCTTTCCATTTCACCAAGTACTCATGACGTGGGGCATAGTTTTGTCATCGGACCACTTGGTCTGCCAAGACAGACTCTACCTCCTTGTCATAAGTTGCTGTGATGCCCAATGGTGCCCTCTTTGACTTGCCTCTATCCGGGTCTTCCTCGTCTTCATAGTAGGGCTTTAAGCAGCTTACGTGGAAGACTGGGTGAAGTTTGAGATGTGGGGGTAAGTCAAGTTTATAAGCAACCTTCCCTACCTTCTTGATTATCGGATGTGGCCCATCATATTGGCGCATAAGCCCCTTGTGTAGGCCTCGGGTGAACTTGTTTTGGATAGACAAGATCTTTACCATCACCAAGTCACCAATGTTAAACTCTCGGTGCCGCCTCTTCTCATCCAGCCACTTTCTCATCTTCTTGGTTGCCTTGTCAAGGTAAGATCGTGTGACATCTACTTGTTCATTCCATGTCTTAGCAACCTTGTAGGCCGATGGACTCCTTGTTAAGTTGGTCACCAAAGAGTGTGGAGTGAGTGGTTGTTGCCCCGTGGCTAGCTTGAATGGACTCTGATTAGTCGCCTCACTCCGTTGCAAGTTGTAGGAAAATTGGGCTATGTCAAGTAGCTTGGCCCAATCATGCTGGTTGGCATTTACAAAATGCCTCAAGTATAGCTCCAATAACGCATTCACTTTTTCGGTTTGTCCGTCTGTTCGAGGTGGAAGCTAGTAGAGAAATGGAGTGCCGATCCCATTAGTTTGAACAGCTCTGTCCAAAACTTGCCCGTGAATCTTGAATCTCGGTCACTGATGATGGACTGTGGCAAGCGCCAGTACTTCACCACATGTTTGAAGAACAACTTGGCTGTCTCCTCGACTGAACACTCGTTGGGTGCAGCTATGAATGTTGCATACTTGGAGAAGCGGTCAACCACCACTAGAATATTCTTGCACTTGTCAGACTTGGGCAATGCCACTATGAAGTCCATGCTAATACTTTCCCAAGGTTTACTTGGTACAGGGAGCGGCTCCAACAATCCTGCCGGACTTTGATTCTCCACCTTGTCTTGTTGGCACACAAGGCAAGTCTTCACACATTGCTCCACCGCGTCCTGCATTTGTGGCCAATAATAGGTCGACTCCAACAGTGCTCAAGTTCGTCTCTGCACCGGGTGGCCAGCCCATTGGGTGTCATGGCATTCTTTGATAAGGTTCCTCCACTTTGGAACATAAACGTGTCGCCCCCTTGTGTAGAGGATGCCATCTTCTTCCCAAAACCTCTTGGTCTTGGCTTCTTTAGCCATTGTTACCAAGCTTTTAGCCAGTTTGTCATGCTCCATGCCTTCCTTGATCAGAGTTAGCAACTCCCCCTTTAGCTTCACAATGGCAGCTAACTCAGCCTTTCTACTTAATGCATCCGCTACAAGATTTGCCTTGCCGGTCTTATACTCCATGACATAGTCAAATTCAGCCAAGAAATCTTGTCATCGTGCTTGCTTTGGGCTTAGCTTCCTTTGAGTTTGAAAGTAGCTTGTGGCTACATTATCGGTCTTCACCACAAACTTGGAACCAAGTAAGTAATGTCGCCAAGTCCTTAGACAGTGAATGATGGCCGTCATCTCCTTTTCTTGGACTATATAATGCCGTTCCGTGTCATTGAGCTTCCGGCTCTCATAGGCAATAGGATGTCCCTCTTGTATCAAGACCTCTCCAATAGCAAAATCTGATGCATCCGTGTGGATTTCGTAGGGTTTGGTGCAATCGGGTAGAGCCATGAAAGGCATGTTGGCACTTTTCTGTCCATTCCCATGCCTTGCCTTTCTTGAGCATGTCGGTGAGAGGGGCTGCTATCGCCGAGTAGCCCTTGATAAACCGCTGATAATAGTTGACAAGCTCAAGAAAAGACCGCAGCTCTATCACCTTAGTGGGTGATTTCCATTCCTTGATTGCCTTTACTTTTCCTTCATGTGAAGCTTTCCTCCCTTGATTACATGGCTAAGGAAGGAAACTTCGTCCTTTGCAAATGAGCACTTTTCTTTCTTGACATATAGCTCATTTTCCCTCAGTGTCTTGAACACGGTCCCTAGGTGTTCAATATGTTCTTCAAGAGTAGTGCTATAGATGACTATGTCATCTAAATAGACCACTACGAACCGGTCCAAGTAGGGATGGAAAATCTTGTTCATCAATGTGCAAAATGTAGTGGGTGCATTGGTGAGGCGAAAGGGCAGTACTAAGAATTCATATGAGCCATAGCGAGTCACACAAGCGGTCTTTGGCTCATCACCTTCCGCAATCCGCACTTGATAGTATCTTGACCTTAGGTCAAGCTTGGAAAAGAACTTCGCATGCCCCAATTGATCAAATAAATCGGCAATCAAGGGAATAGGTTATTTGTTTTTGATTGTTATCTTGTTGAGAGCCCGGTAGTCGATGCATAGCCGCAATGATCCATCATGCTTCTTCTGAAACAACACCGGTGCTCCATAGGGTGCCTTTGATGATTGGATGAAGCCCGCATCCAGCAAGTCTTTTAGTTGTCGCCTTAGTTCCTCCAACTCCGGCGGGGACATTCGGTACGGTGCCATTGCTGGTGGCTTGGCGCCTGGCTCCATCTCAATCTTGTGGTCCACCTCCCTTCTAGGTGGAAGTCTTTTAGGCAACTCGGGTGGCATGACATCTTTGTATTCTTCTAGCACCTTGACAATCTCCTTCGGTGGCCCTGTTGAAGTGTCTCCCTTCTCTCCCCTTTTGCCTTGGAGGATAGCTAGATAGGTGGTCTCTCCTTTCTTGAAGCCCTTTTTGACTTGCATTGCGGAGAGTACCTTCTTGTCCGAACTCGCCTTGGCCACTGTAGAGACCATGCATGGACCACCCTCAAGAATGCACATGGAGTTGTAGCGCGGTAGTGGCACTACATTGAATTGTCGCAGAAACTCCATGCCTAGCACAATGTTGAAGTCATCCATTTGTGCTACAGAGAAGTCTACCTTTCCCTGCCAAGTACCCAGTGTAACTCTACCCCACGAGCTACGCCATTAAGTGGCTTGGCTTCCGCATTCACTGTCTTGAGCCATCCTTACCGTTGTTGACTTTGAGGCCCAACCGCTTGGCTTCTTCATCCTTGATGAAGTTGTGTGATGCCCCCGTGTCTATCATGACTTGAGTAGCCTTCCCATTGATGTTGGCATTCACATACATCAAGGATTGGTCTTTGTTGTTCGCTGGCACTGGGTTGGCTTTGAGAGCATTAAGCAGTTGAAGACACCCCATGTGTGCTTGCTCTTCTATCTCTTGCTTCTCAAGCATTGCACTAAGGTTCTTCCTC